ACCCTAGTGAGGATTAAGTGGTGTATAGATAATGGATGGATGGAAGAAGTTAATGGAATGTGGGATGAAAGATCTTTGCAGCATGTTCTGTGAACAAGTGAACTATAGCGCCTCCCAGAGGACAAAGTAGTTAAAAGACTAAGTAAACCTGGTGCTGAATTTTCAAAATAGTTTGTTTTTACAGAAAAACATTGAAAAATGCAAAGATATTCAATTTACTCTTAAAAAAATGTAAGAAAGCTGACATATATCCTTATGTGAGAGGTTGGAAACAGTACATTTATGCTACTTTTGCACACAAAAAAATAATTTCAAGGATTTTTTATACATATGAATTGCAAGTACATTTTCTATCAAACAAATAATTGATGAATACTTGTGTTTAGTTGTAGTCTTTGTGAAATGTCTCCTCTTCCAGACAAAAAGTAACTTTCTTTTACTTTTACTTCTTTTTGCTTTATCCTCCTGAAAAACAAAAGAATGTGCCGCCCTTATTGACTTACCTAAATGACATGTAGAACTGGTGAAGAGGTAATTTTACAAGACCGAGGAGTCGATCTTGCCCTGAGCTTCCTGTTTTCTGCCACACTTCAATCACCATCATATTATTCTTCATCCGCTCCAACAGTTTAGTTGTTAAGGCCACAGGTGTTACCTAGGGAGGAAAAAAGTATTTTTATTTCTCTTTCAGTTTCAATTCTTTTTTTTTAAACAAATAAATGAGGTTAGCATCTCCTTTAACAAGGGAGACCTGACCTGAATGTTAACAAGTTACAAGTTTCAGATATAATGATACACAGGTGACAATATATGAAAGAAGAAATTCTTTTAGACTCAAATGTCAAAAGTAGGAAAGCTAAGATGAACTTGTGAAATAAATTGTACAGAGGGGCTGTGGTAGTCTGTCCACAGAATGAGGAGTGTGATTTTAGACATGGTAAGAAGACTGGATCTCCTGAACTAACCTGAACAAAGTTGAACGTGGGGTTTGTCTGACCCCAGCTGACGACGGATCTCGCCGTCTCGTCACACCAGAACTGTTTACAGTTCAAGTACACGTTTGGAGCCTGCGTTGGCCCACAGCTGAAGTTCTTTCCATCCGGTACCATGAGTAAGGCATGCAGCAGCACCTCAGGGTCTTCTTCCACCTGCTGCCACGATTTAGGAGGGGATGTTCGGAGGCCAGGATGAGATGAGGGTCCTTTGGAGGGTTTCTGTGGAGTCCAAACATTCAGCTTGGAGTCTTCTAAAGACCGAGCTGGTAACTCCTCCATTCCAGCGTGTTGTGATCTGGATATTGTCTCTCTTTCTGGACTGTGTGCAGTTTGGAAAGCTGACGTGTCGCTCCAAGTCAGTTTGCTTTTAACATTTTCAGAGGAGAAACCTTTGCTGTTGGCTCCAAGTTCTAGTGACACCTGCAGAAAGTGTTCATGTTACTTCATGACATCACCTGTAAACACTGTGTCCTTGGTAAAAAGAAAACAACCTCTTACCTTGAGAGGTCCAATGTTGTGTGCTTCACAGTTCCTGTCCAAGTTCTGAACAGGCAAGACGACAGACTGACTCAGCTGCTTGTTCTTCAGCAGAGAGCGCAGAGGGTGAACCGCCTTACCGACGGCAACAGGCTGCAGAACGACAGGACAAGTTCATGACCACCACTCTCTCAAATTCATTTAGTGCTGAGTTTTATTGAAGGTACATCTGAGCATTTATTAGAATAAAACAAATTACTTGTCTTTTCAATTTATGTAAGCAGAGTATGGCAATTTGTAGGATTGCTAAATGACAGTGCAAGTATAAAATAGACTCTAAAATAAACTCTAAAATATGAATGGCACTCGCATTTTGTTAAAGATGTGATGTTTCTGAACTTTATAGTGCAAAAAGAACACAGAGGAACATTTTGACTTATTATTTGCCAAAACTTACTAACATTTCAACCAGGAAGAAGCAAAAGTAAAACACACTTCTGCTGAAGCACTGACACCAGTCAGTCACATTTATACCAATCAATATTTTAACTACTCAAAGGAATAATCTTTAATCTAGAGCTACTTACTTTCTTCTGGTCACTCTTTCGGGAGTAGATCTTGAAAATCAGATCAGATTCCCACCACTGTTTAACAGCTGCTGGACTGAGGTGGACAGGAAACACAGAGAGCTGGTGGAACCTCACCGCTAACAAACACACAGAGGCGCGAACGTCAGTCACAAAAACATGTTTTTCACTCAGGTGGGTTTCATAGAAACAGATTTAAACAGGCTTTACCTCCTCCTGTGACTTTACTGGAAACAGCTCTGGTCACCTCCCCTCCTCCTCCTGTCCTACTACGATCATGTTGACTGGAAGATGAGGTCACCGGGAACACGTACTCAACGAAATATGTACTAACAAAAGGGAGAAGACATCACATGTATTTGTTACTCACAATGACAAGTCTATTTTTTCAATAAGACCAATAAACATTTGAAATCTTCTACCTACCACTTCTTGCTGATTACTGGTCGAGGAGGTTTCCCTTTATTGGAGCTCTTTCTGGGTGTTGTGGTTGAGCTGCCGGCAGGTACAGTCAGGGAGTCGATGGTCACTCTCGCCAGGCGGATTAAACTCAGAAAACTGAGCTGCTCCGCACTCAGGTGAGGAAAAACACCAGCAGCATCGGCAGGCTGCTGATGCTCTGAACGTGGACTGGACACAGTCAAAATACAGTTAATAACTGTCTTAAAGGTGCAAAGACTAATATAGGCCTCTGTCTAGGCTATTTTCATACTAAATGTTTACAATTCTGGTACTGTGGTGTCCCACATTTCCAGTGTAACTGTTTTATTGTGTTTCGCATTCTTTGTATATAATGTATTTATATAATTAGAAAACAATCAGACCTTTATTAAGAATCTATTCAAGTGGCTGCTTTTAAAGGGTAAATATTGGACACACCTATCCTCAACCTGAGCTTCTAAAAGGCACTTTTTACTTTTTTACTGTTCAGGTAATGTGGCCTAATGTGCATGTAAATGGCCCTTACCCTTCATTAATCTTGGGTCCAGACTGTTTCAGCTGTTTTGGTTGATTTTTACTTGAGGATTTTCTCTTTTGTGGTTCCTCCTCAGTGTCATCTGATTTGGTGACAGAGATCTGAAAAGATGATGTCAATAAATCCTCTGCTTGAAATTGGAGTGCACTTAAAGAGAAAGATTTTTTTTTTTAAATTTAAAAAACACGTCAGAAAATCAACTACTTACAGGAGTTTTGTAGAACAAATTTTCTAGTAAGCTCTGATCGTACTGCGGATCGTTGAGCTCGCTATCTTCACACACACTGCTGTGGTCAGACAGGGATCCAGGAGAGGAGCCTTGTCCATCCCAGAGAGGCAGTGGTGATGTGACTGCACTAAAAAAATAAATACAAAAAAAGTAAAAATGAAAAAAAAAAAAAAACTACTTTTTTTAAAACAAATTTGGATGTAATGCACACATAGCTACCTGCCAAGGAGCAGTTCCACAGCTCTGTTGTCCATGTCAGCAGAAATGTCCAAACCACAGTCCGAGATAACAGCAACATCTTCAGACTGCTTCAGAGCTGACTCAGCACGAAGGATATTTTGAAGAAACATCCCAGAGGTAGAAGGAAATGACCTGCAGATACCAGACACAAGAAGGGAATAAACTATTACAGATAATGCATTATAAAGTGAGAGAAAACATTGTTGTTGTTTTTTTCCAACTTGTAGAACACTGACTTGGCAGGTGGCTGGATGTTGTCCTTTGGGAGAGGCAGGGGCGTATCTTTCAGGGACGGAGCAGAATCCATGTCACATTTGAGAGCTGAAACCACCATTGCATTTCTAAGCTTGTTTCCACGGTCTAGGATAACTGAGATGAGAGAAAATGTTGGTTTTCTTATTCAAAACACTCACATTTGTTGTTATGTACAAGAGATGTGAAGTGATGCTGCAGCCAACCTGAAAGGAGATCATTTGTTGTCTGTCCATGACAAGATTCCTGATTTGAAGGATTCACGGTTGTTTGACTTTTCTGAGAATTGTTTGTTCTTGGCATCTGATTCTCCAGAGTTTCTTCTTTTTCCTTCTGGGCATTTTGGAAATATAAGTGGTCTTTCCCTCTGAAAATATAGCACCAATATATATAGTAGGATCAGTGGGTGGGGAATTAAACATAGCACTGGACATTTTAAGAGAAGACACTGTATTTTATATGATTACAATTACTCCAAACCTCGGCGTGTTTCCACCGCTGCTCCCAGCTGATTCTTTGCCGCTTCCAGCTGAGAGCGATCTGTGCTGCTGCGATGGGACACTCAGTTTGGGGACTTGCAGTCCTTCGATGCTGATGTCTGTGGCAGGACCTGAGCTGCTGCTGTCATAGGCTTCAGTCAGAGGCTCCAAATTAAGAGAAACCTGAAGAGGTAAAAGAAAGAACAGTCAACATTCTCTGATTCCAACTCCCTAAACGTAAATATTTTCTGGTTTCTTCACTCCTCTATGACAGAAACTGAATATCTGCAGCACTACTTACAGGTACTATTCCACAAATGCAGTTGGCATGTGAATGAAAATTCAAGCTTCCACTTACCTGTAACTCTCCAAGCTTTTCAGATGTTGGAGAAACAAGCGTGTAGAATCCACTAATCGGTTGCGACAGAGACAGACGAGAGATTCCAGCAACCTGAGCCCGAGCAATTGGCAAATGATCGGGTTTTGTTAGAACTTCCAGCACCAAAGAGCCCATATCTGTTTATGAAAGATGATTTGTAGATTTAATGATTGTGGCACAGCAAACACGTCAGCAAATATATCAGTGTGCTCTCATTCACCTGTAAGATATGAGGTGAACTGCTTCGGGCCACAGCGGATGGGGAAGCGTGCTGTGGTCTTGATGGTTTTCTGTGACAGCTGTGATGCATCCCTTGGAAAGAAGTGCGTCCCATTGGTCGACTCTCCCCACCAGCGCAACCTGATGAACGTTGCAGACGGCGGCTTGTGAATGGTCCATAACATCCGGCTAACTGTCACCCGCAGGAAGCATCTCAGCTGGCCCTCAACCAGAGGAGGCAGGCTGGTGGAGGGGGACACATCGCTAGGGGCTGCAAGAGACATTTTTGATTAAGTGGAAACACAAACAATGCAAACGCGGGAAATCCTAACATCAAATATCAACATATAAAGAAACAGATAAGAGTGGTATTTATTACAGGTTTTAATTCTACTTTGGCAAATATAAAACCATATGCTGTTCTGTTGGGCTTTGCAGTAATTGGATATTATCTTTTATCGCTTTCAGGCAAAATAGTAAAGTGATAAGGTAGTCTTAGCATAATTTCAAGAAGATAAATTAGCAACTGAGGTCCCTATTAAGGTTTATACATTCATACATAAATAGCAGTGAAACACAGCACACTGGTCTGAAGTTCAGCCTCATTATATATATATATAGCATGCAATTTTGCAGAAATGTGCTACACTGGAATTTGTCGATAACAGAATATCCTCTGATCAATACTGTGATAATTCTCAACCTTACTATTTACAGCTGCAGATGTGAAAGAAGCTTACAAATTCATTACACTGCATGCATGAAATACCCCTTTGAGCTACTGAACCTATGCCTGTTGTAATATTTCATTCGTAAACCAACAGGTTAAACAAATATGATATTACTGATGATGTGTTTTGACATAACTGTATCTCAGTGCTGGAAATAAATAAAAACTAAACCAACAATACAAGCAAAATGTTTACAATGACAAGCAAGCAGCATAGGACGCCTTGACACATGACCTACAGCAACTTTTTAAAATGTAATCTCTAATTGATCATAAAAGTTCCCTGTCTGGCTAAAATTTGGAGCAATGTTCATAAACAACAAATACAAAGTAACTTCAGATTAGACACCACCAAACTGAATCACAAGAATAAAGCTATTTTACTAGAAAACTTATTAAGAAGTAGCTGATATTGACAACAACCCACTTTTAGCTTTAGCATCCTTTGGCAGAATCATAACACTATGAACAGAGCAATAAAATTACAAGTTAGAAAACAAATACTTATTGAAGCAGACAGTTACCAACAAAATATCAACACAAACCGACAGAAAGTGACAGCACATTAACCTAACATAAACTAAGCTAGTAGGCTAACATACGAGGCTAACGTTAGATTGACAGCTGCCGTTAACAGCTACTTCATATTAGCATTAGCCTGCTAGCAGCTAAGCTAAACAAACTTTACCTTTCCTCCTGCTGCTTCCACCTTTGATCGCCCTCTGCTTTCTGCTCTTCATCCCTCAGCTCAGGACATTTGTGAATGACAGCGAGGCCGAAGCAGAGTCTGAGCCGTCAGCAGGCATGTTTTATTATCACTCTGCAGCTCAGTAATAATCCGTTTAAATGAGCTGAGTGAGCCGCTCACACACACCTACACACATATACAAACGGCAGCGCGCAAAACTGTTTCCGAGCAACAAAGTCCGAACGACAACTTCTGTCCCGCTTCCGCTGCCGCTAAGTTTCAGAGGCATTCTGGGAAATGGAGTTTGTTTTGCTGTGGCGCCAATTGCGACGTTTCTGTAGAAGTTTTATTTAATTTATTTATTAATTTATTATTTTTAAAATTTTTTATATCGAATAACCAATATTTGGAAACAGCAGCAATTTTTTAAATTTTGCATTACATTTTCACGTTTGATTATACGTTTAGAAAAATTAAGCAATTTCTAAATGTGCTTCAGCTACTAAAGGTTAAAAAAAAATAAAAATAAATTCAATGGCCCCATATGAGCAAAATATTATTACATACAATTATTTCTCAAATTAATACATGCACAAAGCAAAAATTAATGTAGTGTGAATGTATTTCTGTTGCTGCATTGATATAAATGAGCTGGACAAAAAAATAGCAACAGCTATCATTATAATACCATAGTAATTGAGCAAACACAAAGCCAAGTCACCATTTACACAGTTAAGTCGACGAGACAAAGAGAAATAAAACAAATGCACCTTCCTAGTTTAAATATCAAGGTTTAGACCCAATAAAGATATTTATAAAACACTAATTTACATGACTAATTTACATATTAGGTTTAACACCCAATGATGTTATAAATGTAAAATAGAATTTTTACAGACTAATTTAAATATTAAGATTTAGACCTTACAAAATTATATACAAACAATTAACATACCTGACTAGTTTAAATATAATGGTTAAAACACAATATATACTATATATATATGTGTGTGTGTGCGTGTGTGTGTGTGTGTGTTAAGTATGTAAGTATGTTAAGTTAGGTAACGTTTTAACTGGAATTTTTTTCTACCTCTTTGGGGCTCATATGCAATGTGACAATATTAGATGAGACCATAAACAGACACTCCTTTTCTTTAACACAATCACAAGCCACTGTCATAGTACTTACATCATCATGCATTTTATGAAGTATATGTGTATTTATGGTAAATTTTGCTGTGTAGAGTAGATGATAACTATAGCTATAAAGTAAAGGTAGTGGACCAGAAATGCAACATGGCATCAATACAAGTACCTCAAAGTTGTCCTTGAGCAGAGGACTTAATCCATTTCCAAGACAGCCTTGACTCATGGAAGTCAATTTATTATATCATATAGTTGTATATGTTAGAGCAGATTAAAGAGCACATCCTTATTGTTAACAAAACTTCATCAGTTGAAAAAATAATCTGATAAGTTTCCATTTTAAGCCTTAAAACACAAAATCTCTTATTCATTTTATTTCAAGGAGTATTTTATTGGTCTGTAATATAGACCTGTACTTTACCCAATATCTCAAAATAATGTAAAATAACAACAAACAAGTGCCATTTCATTTATGCACCCAAAATGTATTCAAAATGTCAAAAAAAATATTGTGTAAAGTTAAACAGCAGTGCAGAGGCACTTCCTGTCACAAAAAATATAATAAATACAAATAATATAAACGACTGTGAAACATGATTTAGCTACAACAAAAGCAGTATACATATGAACAAAGTACAAAACATTTCAACATTACACTGACTCCATTCATTCATCTTCTATGTCACCAGCAGAGGGAAGCACTGACCTTCTATAACCATCACAGAGCTGCTCACCAACAGGAGTGACTGAGAACTTTTTCTTTCTTGAACCTGAGATTAAAATGAGCTCATTGCCTTCTCTGCTTTCCTTTTTTTTCTGCTGCCAGTTTGTCAGTTCTGTATTCAAGTATATTTGTGCATTGGTTGTGCAAACTCACTGGCTCTGGAACAACTAGTCAGCTCTTTCTCAGAATAAAAGTCAGGGAGCGAGAAAAGTCTGTCTTTAAATGTGCAGAATCACTGTATGTATTTGACAATGTGCTGAGGAAGACCTATGATCTGGTCATGTGTGCTTTAGGTAGGTTGGACTGCGCTGCTGCATAGCAACAAGATCCTCTGCAGCCATGTTTGTTGTGGTAACAGTGAGGGAGAGCGAATAGAAAGAGCGCCGAATAAAGCCGCTTCAATTCTGGGAAACGTTGCGCTTTATGTCTTAGGATGGAGCTGTGAAAAGAGTCCCTGTTTCTAATACGACTGCATAAAAAGCACTTTTAATTTTAATGGAAATAGGATGCAATCTGAATAGCATAAGCAGTTGCAAACCTTAGACAGACTTGGAGTCTCAGACCTTTAACTACATTTTTAAAGCTATAAATCTCATATTAACAGCTGCAATGAAAGCAAATAGATAGTCGGAGTTGCTTCAGGACAGCAGGGTCTCCCAATCCATCAGCTCCCTGGAAAAAAATCAAGTTCTGCTCTTCAGCGTGCATGAAGGAATGTGCAACAGGCATCCAGTACATGTCCTGTTCATACATTTTCTGTGTGTTAGTGTGTGTTTGGGAAGACTCTCCCTGTGTACCGCCTGCCAATCAAGCAGCAGGACGTTCCCATAAAGTTACAGAGAGGCTTGGCATTATCTGTAGGTCACGTATCGAATTTTACTAGTTTATTAAACTGAATTTTATTAGTGTGTTTTATGAGTTATGATCTATTTGCAGGCAGATATCGGAGTGGTATGTCGACAGGGTTGGTTGTGTGAGTTGAGACAGGTTCTGGATCGCTCGGTGCGCAGATGAACATGATTAATGATGAGAAGCTCAATCAGAGGCCGGCTTAGTGGCTCATTTGTTCCACCAGACAGGCAGTTACATCGAATTCAAAGAGTCTGCCACAGACAGCGATGACCACATTGTTCAGTCAGCCGGGGATAAACAAGCACATTCACAATGACTGGTTCCTTTGACTCATACCACCAGACTGAACTGCAGGCCTGAGAGCTGAGAACACAAGAATCTCTGTCATAATCAACCCAATTTGGAAACATGAGAGTCAGATTTGAACCTCTTGAAACCAGATACTGTCCTCCTCCCAGTGCACACGTGTTCTGTATCTGCTTATGCCTGCATCACCCGACGATGGTTCATTTATTGGGTATTTTCAGTTGCCTTATGATTCATTCTGACATGTAATGTAGCATTTATGCATTTTTAAAGAAAAATCTTGAGATTCAGATGTTGATTTGTAATGACAGACCCCTAAGTTGGGCCCAGTGTAGGAAAAGGGCCGGATAAGATGTCGGTTTTTAAGCAGGCAGGAGGTAAACACAGTTTACTGAAACCAGCACAGTGTGCGAAGGCAGAGGCCTCTCTCCATCTGCAGAAACTGGCCAGAAGGAGCATTTGGGCTCTGGGGGCTGATTGCCAGCTGCCCTGTTCCTCCTCCTCCTCCTCCTCCTGCACCTCCAGCTCCATGTCCACTGTTGTGCGCTCAGGGCTCCCTGGGGCCCGAGGCTCCAATCACAGATGCAGGCTGCCCCTTCACGGCTCTCACCTCCCCTGCCCGAGCGTTGGCTTTCTGGCTGCCTCCTTCTCTTAGAGTGTGCCTCCAAATTGTAAAGGCTTGTGCTCCGAGGGGCCCAGCGATCGCTCCACCCCCCTCACTCCTCAGGGTTCAGGCTGCAGCGATGCAGGAACTCTTGGCCAAACTCGTGGATCCATTTGTTTGCCACTGAACATACACACAGACAAACCCAAATTATGCTTAATAAATAATGAAAAAAAAAAAACTGCATTAATGCACATTTTCTTGCTCTTGCATATATTTTTGCTTTTGGATAATCGTTACTGAAAAGCACAGCCTTGACATTAATACCTGGTGATATATTGTTGCTAAAAACAACACCTCTACCAAGCGCTTCTGCAGCTGCTTTGTGATGATTAATAACCTTCTGCTCCCTGACACACATACGAAGGTCTGGGCCAACCGGCAGCAGATGTGAAGCTGCCAAGATGGGCCCTCAGTGTCTCAACTGCACTCTATAACGTCTCTTCTCTAAAAGCATAATGCAGCACAGATGTGGTGCAGCTCCTGTACATGAGCCCCTGCTTGTCAGGAAAGCTCAATACTGTATATGTGTTGTGAGAAACCAACGAAAAAAATAATGCAAAAGAAAGGCCTTAATGTGGCTGACTTATTTTTTTCCATATTTGCGTCACTGTCTGGCTCCTGTCATAGTGAGTCTTACCCCATTTGTCCCCAATGAGAACAGGGCAGCCAGCATGCAGGGTGTCGATGTTTCCTTCACCATTTCTGTGGAGGTTCCACCAGAAGATGGCAGCTTTCTGTGACACAGGAAACAACAAAAGTCCCTTTCAGTGAGTTAGAAAAGTTGTTTGGAGTAAACTAAGGCTCCTAGCTAACTACTATTTTTTACTATTGATTAATTTGATCATTATTTTCTTGGTGTACTGGTTGATTAGTTTGTCTGTAAAAGGAAAATGAAAGTGGGAAATTTACTTCTTAAAGTTCCTCTCAGGTCATTGATTAAAACATTCAAAACTAATTTCTGTACATCTAAGTTCTATATCTAGAATCTTTTTCCTATAAAAAAAATAATCCAAGCTTTAAAAAGCTCATGTGTGGATCTATGAAGTTCTCGTCTCTATTTTTACCAGATCCTTCTCCCAGTTTTTTGCAGGTCAAGCACACCAGCTCACCTACAACTTTAAAACTACTCTACATTACACAAAAGCCAGTGGCAACGTCGTAAATGAGCCATACGTGTTTGAACTGGAAACTGATTTAGCAGGAGGATAATGATACAGAAAGCCTCACCCTGCAAGCTGAGGATTGGTTTCTTAAGTTTGTTGTGTATGAAACCCCAGAAGCCTGATTTCATGCTTCTGAGACTATTATATGTTGCAGTTTCAAGGTGAAAATAAGCTCATTTGGCTCATAATTTGTCTTCCAGCATATTCAAAACACCATATAGACACAAAAAAAAGACTTTAAGACATAGAAAAGGTCATTTTTTACCCAAAATTCAACTAAACAATCCACACATACTGATATATATGCAGTTATAATCTAAATACAGACAAGAGCTTCTGCAGTTACATTATTTTATTCGTCATTTTATTGTTTTATGAAGTGTAGTTATTTCGTGTCAACAAATTGTAAGGTTAAATGTTTAAATGGTCAGTGACGGGCTGCTAAATCTTCCACTGCAGCTCATTAATCAGCCAAACTCCAGCATCAACCTCCAGTGACAACACAAAAACAGGATTGTGGTAAAGACCTCGTGGCTGCTGCTGCTGCTATGATCTCACCTTTTAGCACTTTGACAGCTGCAGCAGGCAGAGCGTGAGTGAGGTGAAAATACGCCTGAGGCAGAAAAGTAATGAAGACAAAGGACGCTGCTTTCAGCTCATCTAAGACACTGGCGGCGTGTTTACCTCCACGACAGGAACGCTGAAGTTGGCGTAGATGAAGGCTGTGGACCCACCTGCCTCGACAGGGCTGAGCTGTGGAAAAGGACATTCCTTCAGCGCTGTGTCTGCTGTTTATGTGCTCATGTTATGAAAAGCCACTCTGTCTGCTGCACTGTTATAAAAGCCTTTCTTTTCTAATCACTGTCCAGGTTTACTCTGAGCTAGAAAACATTCAGCAGAGGAGTTGCAAAACAGGAATGGGAACTAAAGCCCAAAAAAAAGACATTTAAAAGAAAAATGATAGAAAAAGACAATGTAATGGAGGTCAGAGATCATCTATAAAAACATTCATGTTGGCTTTGAGATCAGATCCAGCCAGAGTTTCTCAGGCTGGTTGTTCCAAAGTCTTGCAACAGTCGTGGCAATGACTGGACATTCTTGCTTTTAATTTAGACTTTGGTGCAGCCAAAAGGAAACTGCCCAAGAACCTCTGGCATGGATCCGGGTCATGCAAGGTCAGAAAACGGTTAGACTTCACTCACGTATATCATAAAAGTTGCTACGCGGTTCCCGGTTTTCAGCTTGAACACAGGACTCGAAGGTGACTGGATTCACGGAAACACATGTCAGAAAGCTGATGAATCACAATAAATAAATCAGTCAACATGCAGCTAACAGCTAAACAACTTACTGTCGCATGGTCAAAATGAGGTTCATAATGGCCACCAATCCCATAATTCACCACTTGGAGGTATTCCCCATATGGATGCTTTGCGTTCAGACCTGTGAGCATCGAGATCCTCTGATCGAGCTTCCCTACGATGGAGACTGATGAGCCCTTCAGCCACGCACTGCAAATCCGACACAGCAAGTATTACAGCAGTTAAACACATATTTAACATCAGCATCTATCATTGGCATTCTGTTTTCATATCACCAGCAGTATTGTTAATTAGAAATAAATCTGTCCAAGTATTTTTACCTCTTGCTGATCCGATAGTCGGCCGTCGCTTGTTTCTCTCCGGCTGCCACCACAGATCTCCTCAACTTGTTAACAAAGACAGAAAAAAGCATCTTATGTTGGTGGTGATTGTTAAAGCAGCCAAACTTTGATGTCCAGCTGCAAACACGTGTCCACAATACAAATCTAGAGCATAAAGGAGCAAAAAAAGCATTTTTAAAAACTCATCAGGATGGACTTGAATCAGTCTTCACATTTTGCTTATGAACTATGGACGAGATGTCCTTCTCTCACCGCAGACACCAATTTCAAGCTTATTTTTGTCTTACAACTTGTCAAAGTGCACCCCGAAGTTCTTATAGGCAAGTCTCGCCACTCAGCCGCCTTCTTGTTAACACTGCCAAACAGTTATTTCAGGATAACAACACCAGGTCTGAATCTAAATGAATGGGAAGGAGGTCATAACTGCTATTTAAATGGCCGCTATGACATAAAAGCTGCACACATAGAATCACCACTCAAATCTGATAAAAAACCTGCTATAAAGGTTTGGTGACTTTTCTCTACATAAGGTTTAAGAAGTATTTTTTTTCCCCTACATGTTGTACTTTTGTAATATTTTACAGTTTCATGACATTGCACTTGCGTCAGTGCCGCAACAGGATTGGTTGGATCTTTCCCAGTTTGGCTGTTGGGAAGCAAATAATTGGCTATTTTGGGGGGAGCGGCAGCACGTGTTGAACCTTTCTGTTACAGAATTCTTAAGTAGAGTTCTATTTAGGATTCTCCCTTATAAAGGTGCATATCAAGTTTTTCCCCCCCCGTTTTTTAGACACTACAAAGATACACTGCTGTCAAGGATGAGTCTTTCAGTGCAGGAGTTTTTGGTTCCTACATGGGCTGATTTGTTTGGATTGTTCATACCTGAGAACAAAGACATGCCTGAAGAGTCTTGTATTGTCACCAGACTCTTGTTGTGCTCTCATTGGTGCTTATATTTTTGCACTTTTACTTAAGATATTCGTTTACTGAAATAAAACTCATGTTCTTGTAAACTATGCTGTTGGTCTCTGCTTTATATTGCAGCCTCCAAGTTGGGTCACACCACAGAGAAAAGCCATTTTCAGTTTATTTTAGTTCTTCCTGGGGGACGGTGCAGAATTATTTGTGAATAATTGGCTGGCGTTAAAGTTCTCATCAGAACTAATTAAATAAAACTGCTTTGGAACCAGTGGTGGTGTGCAGTTTATTGTCATTCTAAATGAGCATGTTTTAACACCTAATTGAAGGTTTCTGATTGTAATAATTCTGCAAAATAAAACAGTTTCATTGCAGAACTTTGAGGTCAATCAGTTTATTGAAGGTGCTTGATGGTAATAATTCAGGAAAAATCTATAAAGTAACAGTGTTCCTTGTAAAATATCGTTTTATTTGAATTAGGATATATGACTAACTTTATGGCTTTTGTTTGGCAGCCAGTCATTTGACCATTTTTTTAAATGACTTTATTTTACAGCTCAACTAATTATTTTACGCAGACTGACAGATCTGTTAACTCAGAACAGACCTGTGTTCTTATTTAAAGGCTTTTGGATCCAGCAGGAGCAAAGCGTGAATTGTGTTCAATCTGCTCAAACCTCCAAACTAATAGCGTACCACGGGCCTGTTTTCAATCAGCCCACGAGCTGACATAATGATGAAATAAATACAGGGTTTTCCATCGGAGCAAAGGATGGAAAACTCCCTGAACAATGCCAAAACCTCCCAGAAACTATAGGGCACCGATTGAGTTAGCCCACCAAATATTCCCTCAAGTCACTGAGTCAGCGAAGCATGAGTTGCTCTGAGGACAATATGCTGCAAATATTCAGCTCGGCTAAGTTTTCATAGTAATATATCCCTCATTCCTTTAAGCCTCGCTAAACGTTTGGAAGCAGACCAAGTCTTCCTCCATAGGACACATTCAGGATCTTCCCAGAAAGAAAAGGCTGGTTTAGACTCCTGCAGCCAGAAAGCCTCACAGCACATTATTAAGTCATGTATGCACATTGATTCTGTTGCAGCATACCTTTACTCCTAATGCAATTAATCATTTCAGATCAGAAGTTTTCCCTTCCAGCCCCCTCATTGCAAAGACAAAGCATAATAAGTAAAATGTACTTAAAAGTATCAAAATAAAAGTACTTTGGGCACCACAGCCAGGTCAGGGCATTTTGCATATACACGTAATATTACATATGCATTTACTTGCAAGCATCATTTTATTGTATAAGTCGAAGTGGAGATAATTTAACCCTTATTTTATTTTTTTCACATTTTATAGGCTGATATCATGAATAAGCAAAAACAAATCTTCAAGTAAGAGTCTTCCTCATTCCAGTGCAAGACTAAAAGCACACTGTAGCTGTCTTTTTCAGGTAATCAAAGGCTTCAAAGGGCGCAAATTGTAAGTAATAAGGCTGAGCCAGACAGGTTAATATGCACCTTAGTTACTGGATGCTCAGAGTCAAACAGTGACAGCGATGAAGATTACATGAAAATACAGCGAGTATGTTCGTCTTACTGTCCCTACTAATGCACTTTTTGTGCTACATGACAACAGTAGATTCCTTTAATTACACTGTACTGTGCTTAAAATGATCAATTTGCTCACAGAATCCACAAATATACCACAATATCTCCACAATGTGAATAATATGTGCGCGGACAAGAAAAAACAATACTTTTGGTTTAGTCAGTTGTAAAGTCTGATAAATTCTTCAATGTGAGAGTCACCACAACCTGATGTAATTTTATTGAGGAACATGTGCTCACATGGGAATAGCAAAATCTTGAACAGATTTTCCACCACAGGTCATCTAGTTGTTGACTTTAACGGATTTAATCAGACTCAGAAATTCTTCCTATTGCCAAGAAAATATTTTTCAAGCTTTACATTTTGTCAGTCCCATGTGGACGAACTCAAAACTCTGCAGAACGTGGGATTACTAAACCATCTATAGCTCTGTCCAACTATCATAAAAATGTATGTTCGTGGTAAAGATGTGGTTTCCTCTCATAATTCCTAAAAAGCCGGCATATTGCAGACACATGGGTTGTTTGATGAGGACTTACTCCAGGCTGGGCGAGACTCTTGACGTCTTCGGCTTCTGCGTCGGTGATGAAGTCGTGGTAAAGGACCACGAACGGCTGCAGGCTCAACACCTCCCGCCTCACCGGCATCAGCAGCAGCGCAGGATTGTCGTTGGTGAAGTAGTCGCAGAACAGCCTGGGGTTTTTAAAATGCGTCGGCTGTCAGGAGAAACAGGCATCTGAAGTCCATTAAGACATCAAAACAAGGAAATTCATCCACGAGCTATAACTCTCAGCATTGTTCTTTCAACACTTAAAACAAGTATGGCGTAAGAATAATCATTGTTTTTATGACCAAGGAAATATTTAACAGTTTTGCCAAATATTTTCACAGTCATGCATCTTGATAAACTGTGACGAATGCCTTGAAGTTGCTTAAATGGATTTTTTTTTGCTCTAAAAGATTACTTTCAGTCACATTTGGCTTTATAAATTGACCGCCCCTTCAGTTACAACTAAAGTATGTCAACAAATATGGGATGGATCGCCTTTTGTATTGTTGCACACAGTAATAAACCTCAGACGATGTGAAGTGTCTTTAAAACTGTTGAATTAGTTTGGGACAGAGATTGATGTTGCTGAGGGAAAAAAAATGCTGTTTGTGAAGTTTTAGTTGTTCAGTAGTTTTGCTCTGAACAAATATCTTCAAAACTAGTGACATTTCCATCAGCCTAAGCTGTACCCCTTGTTTGGTACAAGTTAGCTAATGGACCATTGAGCCACAGCATTAAAACCACCTGTCTTATGTTGTGTACATTCCTCTCAAAAAACAGCTGTAATCCATCAGGGCATGGACTCAGGACAGCAGATCTTCTGGGTTCTGTGGGTTGAGGGGTGGGACCTCTATGTATCAGACTTGTTTTGGTGCATCCTGCTGATGCTCAGTTGTTTGTAGGCGGTTTCGATGTTTTCGGCTCTTTGTTGTGGTCTTCAAATTGTTCCTGAGCAGTGTAGCAGGGTGTATTGTCCTGCTGAGGCCACATCTGTTGGGGAGTGGTGTTTTTGTAGGGGTGAGCTTGGTCCACAGCAATGTTTAGGTGGGTGTAAACAGTAAACTCAGATGGTGACTACAAACATAATAAGGAGTATACCAGCCACACATCAGCATGGTGGCACGCTAGCACTCGGCAGGGCCTAAAAGCTACCAGCACAGATGTCTATTCTTGTTTAAAACCACTGACAGGTGAAGTGAATGACAATGATCATGTCATTACAATTCATCGTTCAGTGAGGAAACCTTTGATCCATGTGGCTTCTACTTTGCACCACTTATCCAAACATTGCTGCAGACCAAGTACACTGTAAAAATTGTTCACTGAAACACAACAAAGAGCCCAAGACTGTGACCCCAAACCCCTCAAATCCTAATCCAATTGAGCATCGATGCACCAGAACAAGCCTGATCCAAGAAGAATCAACCCAACAACCCACATAATCCTAAAGGATCCACTGCCAACATCAACCCCGGTGGTCCTTTGTCCTTGCACTGATGGGTCATAGGCGTTCTGGCAATACAAGGAGGACCAACATAATATCAACCAGGTGGTTTTAATGTTGTTGCTGATCAGTGTACATTAGGGATCTCCAACTTCGGTCCTTGTGAGCTTCTGTCCTGCAGGTTTTAGACGTTTCCGTACTGCAACACACCTGACTCAACTTAATGGATCGTTAACAGACTTGGATCATTAATAGACTTGGATCATTAACAGACTTGTGTAGAACTTGACAACAAGCTGTTGGAGATCCATTAATGTGAGTCAGGTGTGCTGCAGTATGGAAACGTCTAAAACCTGCAGGACAGTAGCTCATGAGGACCGGAGTTGGAGATCCCTGGTGTACGTGCATTTTGAACCCTGCAATATTATACATGCAGGCACATGAACTACTGTAAATCACTGCTGGCTATCATGTTAAGAACAGAACGATTTCTCTAAGTGTAGAGAGGCCCGTGAACAACTCTTGAAAAGTTTGTTTGATATTTCTCTGTGCTGATATGATACACAGTATGATTGATTGTGATGAATACCTGAGAGCCTTGGGTTTGGCAGAGTCTCTCGTAAGTTTCTCTGGTCCTTAAATAAGTGGAGGTGGGTCTCCTCAGACCATCGCCTCTGGGTGGACTTTCAGCAACCAGCAGCTTCTCATATTTCTCTACATTCTGCAGAACTCGTCCATTCATTGGATCTGAGAAGAAGATTTGATTCTTGTCATCCTGTTCATTATAATCTTAAGTGCTTCAGTAGTAAGCTCTGGTTCCAAAAAGAAGCCCAGATGTCTCCTACTTAAGCACATAGAAACTCACATGCAACACAAGAAGGTTTTCCAGAGACTGTTTATGTTGCGCAGATGGGATTAAGGCAAAGAGACGAGCTGACGGAAAAGATTTACCGTGATGCAGCAACTCCTGAGACAGGCTCAGAGCGTGGGAGACGTTTCCTGTCTGAAACAATGAGAGGAATTCAGGGCGGTGTGATCCATCAGTCATGTATATTTCTTCAGTGTGAGTCCGCCTACTTTAAAGTGAGAGAAGGCCAGGTGGTCCAGAGCATCTTCTAGCGTCCCTTCATTCTCAGGGCTCCACTCTCCTCCTGGTCCCCTGAAGAGACGAACCGACTCCTCCAACCACTGCACCGAGTGATAATAGTCTTCCTGCTCATACGCCACCTGTGTGCAACAACACCTGATTTATTTTTAATCCTATTTATCTGACAGTTTAAATAGAATTTGTTGTTCCAAAGACTGGACATCAAACTGAGAAACTGCATTTTTCATTTGAGTCTGAGGATTTTGCGGTTGTAGGGATGATTTTAGTAGGAATCTATTTAGTAGCAATCAGGCAAACTTTGAGCTTCTATCACATGATTTATCTGGAATTATTGTGTCACCGTGGATTTAAAATGCCACTGGCCAGGTCATTTCATCTCCATTTGAACTGAATTACAAAGAAGGGCTGGTTGGTGTATGCAGAAATGTGAGGTGAAATATAGCTAACCGATGACTAACACAGTTAATAAGAGACTTTAAAGCTGGAAAGTGTCCACTTGGATGAATTTAACCCTCTAATTTTGGTCCTTTGTGATTGTTTTTCATGTGTGTGCAGCTGTTCTCATTTCCTCTGCTGTACCCAGGACTCTAATGAAATTACCGGATTAAATGGACGTTAGAGGAGCATCATTACTTGGCAAAACATAAAGTACAAGATGTAATGTAACTATTACTACTCGCTTTTTTTTTTGCCTTTATTCAGTAGGATCAGTGTGGAGAAAAAGGACAGGAGAGCAGAGGATTGACATGCAGCTAATTGTTTGACCAGCTGGGAGTTTAATTGCTCATGGCATTAGTACCAACATGGCATCAGTCCAAACCACTCGGCTATCGGGTCGCCTCTACTTGTGTTATTCTTCACATATCTGTAACAGATGAGCCGGTATGTGACCTCTTTTCTAACCCAGGGCTATTTATCTGTGATTCAATTAACAGTATAGCATATAAGCAATTAAAAACATCAAAAAGGTTTTAAAAAATTCCCAGAACTTCAAGTGATGTTTTAAAATGGATTGTCTTTCTAAAGCAACAGCTCATAACTCAAATATCTCATTTATTAATGTCTGTGAAAAAGAAAAGCAGCAAAGTCTCACATGTGAAAAGCTGCAACCAGAAGATATTTGGCATTTATTCTTGAAAATTAGAGAAATAATTATTACATCATCAAGTTTGTTGCCATTTATTATACATTTTTGTTTAGTAATTAATCATTGCAGCTCTAGTCTCATGTATTTTTGACTTTTTTCACAGTGACATAATTGTAATACAACACAAACAAGTTGTTTGTGGGTTGGAAAAGACATCCGCATAATCTGATGAATCGCCTCAAGTGATGATAGCTGAGGCAGTGTTTGAGTTTCAAAACTAAAAGTTTGAAAATGAAATAAAATGTGCAGGTGTGGAGCTGGAAAGCAGCGAGTTGATCAGAACTCTGCAGCTGCTCCACATCTCTGCTTCAAGCTTGCAGCTCCAGGCTACATTTGCACGTAATAATAAAAAATCACCCACATCTGGGATTGAATTGTGGGTGGTTAAACTGCATCATGGGTAATGTAGGAACCAGGCTTTTAGCCAGGAATGCATAGCTGCATCTATTTTATGATTTTTGCTCTGGTAAACTGCAGCTTTACAGGATGCTCAGGATCTGCTCGGACCTCGGTGGAGCAGCTTTCTCTTATTTTACACCCTGCTCATCACACTGCAGCTTAATGATGGTCTTTAAACCTAAACTTGAGTTTAAAGCTCTGATCGAAGAGGTATAACTGGAGAGCACAAATCCTGTCTTAAGGAGGATTGTGTTTGATGCATCCTTGGCCACCTTGTTCTTTTCACTTTTGTCCCATGTTTGATGTTTTTATGCTTGATTTCTATCATTTTTTGTAACCTTATCGAGGGGTGTTTTCTTGACCAGACGTCCCTTAAAAAAGAGATTCTAATCTTAAAATTAAAGGTTAAATAAATGAAAATGAAATGCTAAACTGGTGTCTTTCCAGTAGATGATCACTGTATGTCTCCTCAGTCAACTGCACTGTTAATGAAGATGCATGTCTGAACACCTTATGCAGTACTTTTTAATTTAGAGCATCCAAACCACAGTCTGCTTCACCTGGTTTCAACCCTATTTGGAGACGACTTGATTAAGTGCTGACTACAGGTCTGGCAGCAGAAACAGGGTGGCATGTGGCTCCTCTCATCACAAGATTAAATCCACACCCACCTCACGCAAAAACAAAAACCCCTGTGTACCATATAACCTCCCAAACACACACACACAGAAAGTCACCAGCTAATCAGACGTCTGCTCTGCCACAGGTTTACATCCACTTCACAGCATCACACTCTGTAATTTGGGAGTTGTCGGCCTGTACAGCAGCCGGCTGGAAAGCCAATGAACTTTTTTAAAAATAGTTCCTCTGAGGGAAACACCAGCTGGTGTTCAATTCAAACAGCTGAAAAAGTCCTCCCAGTGAAACTCCTGTTAACAAACCCCGCAGGTTTTGAAAATTGGTTTAACAGCCACATAAAAGCAGCTGACGACACCCTAAAACGAAGCATCTCTGTCTACAGATTGTCTCAGATTATCTGAGTGCAAGTGAAGGCAAGCTCTGCTCTTAACTTCAGCAGCGTGACATAATGTCTTTTCCATACAGGAGCGAGTCTCTCCCACGCAGCGCCCTGCCCTTCACTGTGGGGAAACCTCTTTTTTCCCCTTCCATACTTCTTCCATACTAGAATAATATATCATCTTCACATGAGCAGGATTCTCAGACACGCTACGGGAAGAATCCCACTTTTTCCAGGCGGATGGTCTGTTCTCCCACCACACAAACTCAGACCCATGGATCTGGAATAAGAACTGCTGCAGACCTTTGGAACAGCAGGGAAACCTTCACAGCAACGTCCTCCACAAATCCCTTCATTTAATTTCTTTACCTGAACACTTGTAGCTTGTTTTACTCAGAAAAAGGATCCAGAGGGATGACAGATGGGTTTCAGTAGAGCCTCATTGCTTTCTCTTTGCTATATTTTAGGGACATGACAAATAACCAGAGCAGGTTTATTTACTCAGGTACGACATTTTATGCTACTTTATCATCACCACATTTTACTTCGGTACTTCAGGACCTTTGACATGGTGTCAAAGAGCAAACCAGTGGTTCTCGGCCTTTTTGGCTTGGGCCCGTTTTCAGTTCGTTTTTTCATTTTGGGGTTTGATATAAAGAACAGAAGTAAACATTTTTTATTTTTTTTATTTGAAATGATAAGTGGAGCCACAGGTAGATAGATAATGTACTGTTTACATTTAATTTGCTTCTATGCTTGGCCCCATCTGCTTTGTGTAAACACAGCCTGCAACTTAGCCCAGTTAAGCTGCAAAGCCCCTGAATTTTTATTTTATTTTATTTTTTTTACTTCTTGTGTGATGTTTGATCTTGTTTTAACTAATTGTTCAGTGACCTTGAATTCTGTGAAAGGCACCTTTAAATAAAATGTATATTATTTAATTTTTTTCATGACTGCTGGTTGCAGCTGAGTCACTAATACCTTCTCAGCTGCAAAGATGAGCTCAGATTTTTTTGCTTTTTACACAATCTTGTTAACACGAATGGTTACATTTCAATACATTTTAAATGAAGCATCAGAATAAAGTGAATCTGATAAAATATCACAATTTTAAGGTGAGATCTGATTCATTTTCTAAATGGAACTGCTTGTCATACATGACTAATTTAAGGACCATAAGAAAGTTGAAAATCTTTAACCTTTTGTCATTCCTGGCTCTTATAAATAGTGTAGCTTTGGAGATTTTATAAAGACAACATGCATTTTCCAAGCAGTTACTTTTCTTAAGAGAGGGAATAAAAGAGTAAAAGACAGTCCGGGTTTTGTACCTTTCCGACCAGAAAGCAGTCATCACCAGACAGCGGGACAGACACTGCAGGCATGTAGACGTCGACGGCTTCACCGTTAGCGACTCTTTGGAAACGACCCCTGACGAGACTCGAGACCTGCAGAGCGTAAACGTCCTGCAGCCTCATCAGCCCCTTGGCGGCCCCCTGCAGGTCCTCCAGTTTGGGCAGCTCGGCCTCTTCCTCCTCGTAACTGGACCTGAGGGCTGGACAGCAGAGGGCCAAAAGGTGAAGGGAGGGGGGGTTGGGTGTTGACAGCAGAGAAAATAAGGAGCGTTCAGTTATCACCACCAGATGTGTCGGTGAAGAAGCCGACCTTGTGCGTTCTCCAGAGCTTCGTTGCTGTAGACGACGTTCAGCCACTCCGAGTGCAGCCGCTTGATCAGGGTGAACGCCACCAGAGGGTTCGCCATCGCAGCCGCAGGGCCTTTGTAGAGCTCTGAGTGCAGGTCGGACACTTTGGCGTAAAAGCTGAGAGAAAGATTAGACTGTAGTTACAAAAAAGCAACAGAGCGGAAATACTGAAAACGCAACAAATTCAGTCACATCAGTTAGTAAATTAAGATTATAAGCTGATGAATCTGGCATTAAAATTACAATAAACTTCTCTTTGCATAAGTCCTCTGTTTGACGAATGCTGAATTTTAGAGTGAAACATGTAAATCTGCATCTGATAATACTTATAAAGTCAAAACACATTCCAGCTTCACACCACACAAAGGCGCCACAACAAAGCTGCTGTTTGAAACTTTGTCGGCAAAAAGCCTCCTCAGAAAAGTTAGAGGCCATAATTTCAGCTAAAAAACACTCAAGTCAGGGGCTTAAAGTAGTCGGAGATGATTTGAGTTTAAGTTTTGTTCTGCATCAGTGCTCCAGTTTCCAACAAAGTAAAGATCTGACTTAATAGAACTTCATAGGTGCATTGTGCGAATGCTGATTTCATTTTGTTAATGTACTATGGCTCAAAATATTACTGCATGTTAAGAGATTTTACTGTATTTCTAGCTTAAGCATTTCCCCTCCAGTGTTTACAGTGAAGCATGTTTTCTGATTGCATGTTTTAGTGACTGTAAGTTTATTGCAGTTTCTAACACACTGACGTCATGAATTTAGATCAATTACTCTGATAACTGCTACACACTTGAAAATATTCCGCTGTTTTTTCTAACTTTTATGCTTTTTCCATGCATTGGTCCTTCAATCAGCTGTTTCAACCCTTAAAGTGGAACCGAAGGGTGTCTGGGGAACCAGGGCTAAACCAAAGTGTTCGCTCTGTTTGATTTTGCAAATACAAACAGAGCGATCACTTTGGTTCAGCCCTGGTTCCCCAGAACCAGGGCTGAACCAAAGTTCCCCAGAAGGGTGTCTGGGGAACCAGGGCTGAACCAAAGTGATCGCTCTGTTTGTATTTTCAAAATCAAACATGTTTCCAGTGGGAGTCTGACTGCTCAAAGGTTGCTCCTGGTCTCCAATTCAGTTTGTTCATGAACAGGATCTCATGGTGCAGCCGAGGTGAGGATGGTGTCTAGATTGGGAACCACAGAGTTGCGTCTCTGCTTGTTGCAAATGATGTGGTTCTGTTTGATTCTTCAGGTCGTGACCTTAAGTCTGCACTGGGGTGGTTAGCAGTCCAGTGTGAAGTGGCCGCATTGTGAGTCAACACCTACGTGTCTGAGGACATGGCTCTCTGCTTTGGGGTCGAGCTTAGCTGCTGCCTCAAGCGAAGGAGTTTTTTAAGTATCTCAGGATGCTTTTCACTAGTGATGGGAAACCGGAGCATGAGATGGACATATGGATTAATGCAGCATCAGCAGGAATGCAGGCTTTATACTGAACTGTTATGGTGAAGAGAGAGCTGAGCCAGAAGATAAAACTCTACATTTAAAAGTCGTTACAACTCTCAGCTGTGGTCACGAGCTCTGGGCAGTGACCAAAGGAATGAATTCGTGGATATAAGGAGGCCTGGGCTCAGTCTTAGAGATAAAATGAGGAGCTCGGACATCCAGAGTTAGCTCGGAGTAGAGTCGCTGCTCCTTCACAATCAAAAGAAGCCAGCTGAGGTGGTTTGGACATCTGACTATGATGCCTCCTCAGCACCTTACTTTCGAGGTTTTCTGTTGGTGCCCAACTAGAAGGAGATCCCTGGTGTTGACCCACAACTCACTGGAGGGCTTGAGATTCCCCAGGAGGAGCTGAAAACGCTGCTGGAGGGAGGACGTCTGCAATGATGTGCACCACAACCCAACTCTGCATAAGTGGAACTAAATGGATGGATGGATTTTTGTTTTTTTTCATTGCCTGTTTAGGTTATTTGACCTTTCAGCTTTGGCCAATGTTTAAAAGTTTTCAGCTCTTTAGGTTTGAAAGTGTTTTTATTTTGGCTTCAGCTTCTTTATTTTTGCCAGCAGACTTAAATTCCACTTCAGATGCATAGTTGCAGCTTCCAACTCTGTTACATGTTAAATGTGTTACACTATCAAGCATCCACACTACATTTTCAACAGTAAAGCATTGGATGTTTTTATGATGTTCATGGAAGTCAATATTTATGTATTTTAGTACATTTTTAATCAGAGTAGCTCAGTACAGGACATCCTGCACTAACTCTCCTTAACATTAAGTAACAACAAAAAGAGCCCAGTGCCTCACATTTTACATTCATTTTACCCCGAAATAACCAGAAAATTGTGACATTACAAGTTTAAAATGTCATATATTTGTGGCCCCAAAGTGTCAAATTGTATTTCATTTGGGAGGATTCATCAGAGGTTCGTTTTACAGCAGCTGTGGACGTTACAATGTGATCCTTGTAAAAACCTCCACATGTGCTGCTTCCATCATGTCCAACAACTTGTTCCATCATTATCCTGAGTGTTCCAGCATCATGAGCTCATCCCTGAGAATAAACTCAACCTGAAACATCAATTAGTGCTTTCCTTTAATTCTGCAAAGACTGACACTGAAGCATCGATTTTTGTTTTTTTCTATCATGCAACTGAAACATCTGTATTGGTCATAAGTCTTCACCACTCACCGCTTCACGTCCTGCAGTCTCTCCTGCTCGTGATCGATATAAGTTCTCAGGTAATCGATCAGCTTCTGCTCCACACTGATCGCCTGCTTCACGTTCAGCAGCGACGTGTACATTTCTGCTGAACATCTAGAAGTCACAGCTGCGACCAGGAGGCAGAGAACCAAGTGAGCAGGACTCTTCATCTCCAGCGCTGGATTCGGACTGATCCTCCTCCAGCAGCGTCTCTGGTTGCTGATCAGTTTTCCCTCAAAAGGATCTCCAGGATTCGCTGCAGGCGGATCCGAGCCTCCTCACAGCAACTCTAAGAGTCTTGTTGCTTCTATAATAACACAACTTATTAAAAGAGCTGCTCCTGTAGTTGAGCTCAGTTGCTGGAAAATAACAGTGCTTTTCAAAAAAAAATGTTTTCACATTTATGCTTTAAAAAAATCAGGAACCAATTTTGCATTTAAGCGCATATTTGGCATCAAGTTTGGAGTCACAGCGACACCTGCAGGCCAAAGCTCTGCACAGCAACCAAACTCAAAGACACTTCAGTTAACTCAGGAAAACAAAGGTGCTAAATGGAATCAGCAAGGCCACAGTGATGCCAAAGAACAGCCATTTTATTTCCACAAAAAAGCCTTTTAGCCAGAAGGGCAAAAACATCAAGTGAAGTAACGCAATGTAGAAACTTTTAGTACAAATCTACACATCTTACATCCTACAATTTGAACACCTTCACCCATCATGCAACATCTGTCCCTGTAAAAGACGTGCATAGTCTCTATTATATTCAGATTTTTATTTTACTTTTGGGTTTTTTGTTTCTCACGGTGCGTTATTGTATCCATCTGCTGTCACGTGTGAGGTTCCCCAGTGAGGGATCAGTAAAGTTTATATTATCTTAAACAATAGTTTCTGAAATGAAACCCCCCAATGGTGCCTCAGAGAACCGTCCAGGGAAAAAAAAAAAAAAAGTTTCTTTAGGGATTTCAGCAAAAATATGTTCTTTATTGAACCATTTTCAAGATTCTTCTTTGTGGAGTCACTTGGTTCGATTAACAAAACTCTTTTAAATGGTTCCTAAGTAAAAACAAGCACATCACCATACAGTTGTTGGCCATTTGTTCACATTTCTTTTTACTTCAGTCAGTTACAGACAGGAAAGGTAATAAAAGTGTCAGCTGCAGACAGGCACAGAGTAAATCCAGTGGACCTACAGTCCAAAACACATGTCATGGATCAGTGAGTTAAGGATCCAAATACAGACGCCAATGACGGCATTAAAGGAACAAAACCCTAAATGTATAATCAAAGAGCTGATACGAAAACAAACCACAGTCCAGATAAATGTAATAACGTGTGGCATAAACTAAAGCAAGAAGCAAAGAAACACAAAAACACTCAAAAAACTAAATGTACAAACTGGAGGCAGGTCAACAGGAGGTTTAACATGAAGCAGTAAAAGAGGACAAACTGACAGAGACAGAGGGACGGAACTGATTCAGGAGACAAGACTCAGGTGAAACCTATCAGGGAAATCAAATAGGGAGGGAAAAGAGGGACAGAAGACTGAAGAAAAAACACAAGTGACATGCGGGGAAGGGCAATTTCAAAATAAAACAGGAAGAAACATGAAAGAAACCCAAACACAGACAAACAGACACACAGGAAACACAAGACTGAATCAGAAAAACAAACCAAGCCCAGAAACAAAAACCCAAGTCCATGACAACACAAACACAAAATGAATTGGAGCACAGACTCACATGGATCCAAACCAAAACTCAAGACACACTGACTGCATTGAGCTGCAAATGTGAGTATTTGCAGCATTTCTGGATCTCTAACGATAAAATACATAAAACACTTTGGATTCTTTAGTGTTGGTCAGATAGAACAACATACAAAAAGATTCCAGCTTGATGTTTGGGAAATATTGATGGACATTTCTCACTGTATTCTGATGTTTTATAGAGAAAATGATTTAATGTGGGCTGCAAGGTGGATCGGTGGTTAGCACTGTTGTCTCACAGCAAGAAGGTCGCCGGTTCGCGTCCCGGTGAGGACACCCAGGATCTTTCTGCATGGAGTTTGCATGTTCTCCCCGTGCAGCGTGGGTTCTCTCCGGGTTTTCCGGCTTCCTCCCACACAGTCCAAAAGTCCCCTGCCTTCACCCTGAGTCAGCTGGGATAGACTCCAGCCCCCCCGTGACCCTAGTGAGGATTAAGTGGTGTATAGATAATGGATGGATGATTTTTTTGCTTTATGAAGAAAATATTGCAATTGTGATATTGAAAATATTGTTATCTATTGACAATGAAAATAAATGTTAGCTGCAGCGTATATTTCATGCTATTACCTGAATAAGCTTTAATACTTTCAATAAAATTCACGAAGAACCACTTCTATAAATAAAGAGCTTCTTCAATATATGAAAATAATGAAACATAAAGAGGTTTTAGAGCTAATAGAAGTGACATTTAACTTGTCATTGCTGTGTGATTTGATGTGCAGGAAAAGTAAATAAAGTTGTGATGAGAAGATGCCCTAAGAAGGACAGAAATGTTTAATCAACCCTTATTTAAACTCAGAATACGCTGATATGCAGAGGCCTCATTTGGAATGAAGCTGGGAAAGATAATAAAAGATGTAGGCATGCAAGTAAAACCTTGGGAAAGAATAACAATAAAAATATTAAAAGACAAAGTTAATGAAATAATAAAGACATCCACTGGATCATTTAGGATTTGAAAACAAATGAACCAACTAAAACAACAACAGCTGGAATTGAAATAAGAGGAAATTAAAAAACCTAAATTGCCTTCAGGGTAAAAATGAGTCTGGACTGTTTTGCATTTCTTTCCAGATTGTAGATTCACAACTTGATTCTTAACACTCAGTAAAACCAGCATGTGCAATATTCAAAAATCATTTGAGTGTTTCAGTGAGACAGTCAGAATGAGATGTGAGGGGGTTAAAAAGAGGACGGAGAACCATCCAACTTCAGCACCACCTGTAATAAATCTATCTGCAGATAAATCGTGTCCAAGGACTGAAGAGTTGCTGCTCATACAGGCAGGTAGAACATGTCACCATTATTTAACGTGCAAAAACATGTGCTTAAAATAATGTAGTTTCCCTTTAAGAGCACAAAGGTCAAAGGTCAGGATAAAATATGTTCCTCCTCAGTTACAGTAAATTATGATTAAATTACACATGTTGCACAGCTATGAAGTGGCCTCAAGGTGACAGCAGTGCAACAGGCACATTTTTATTTATTTGATGATTTTTGTGTTAGTGCTAATTTGGATTTTTATATCAGCAAGGAAAGCAAGAAAAGAATGCTTGAATAACAAAACAGCATCTTTTAGAGAATCTGTGTTGTGGCTCAAAGATGCACGAACTCAACTCAGATATTTAGGATAACAAAATAATACAAATATGACTATTGTGGGCTGCAAGGTGGCGCAGATGGTAGCTCTGTTGCCTTGTAGCAAGAAGGTTGCCGGTTTCTGTGTGGATGTTCTCCCCGTGCAGTGTGGGTTCTCTCCGGGTTCTCCAGCTTCCTCCCATGCAGTCCAAGAACATGTTGAGGTTAACTGGTGATTCTAAATTGTCCGTAGGTGTGAATGTGAGTGTGCTTGGTTGTCTGTCTCTAAGTGTAGCCCTGTGATAGACTGGTGACCTGTCCAGGGTGTCCCCTGTCTTCACCCTGAGTCAGCTGGGATAGACTCCCTGCGGCCCTAGTGAGGATCAAGCAGTGTATAGACAATGGATGGATAACTATTGTATTAAAAATCACATTTAAATAATTAATCAAAAAAAGAAAAACAATAAAAAGAGAGACAGAGAGTATTTTATCACATTCTGGCGAGACTGGATAAGAGAAGAAAATTACTTCTATTTAGTTTTCTGTTCTGGGTTTTTTTTCTTTTTGTGTGTGCATATAATATCAAATTCTGTATTGTTTTTGCAAATATAGTTAATGTAGAGACATTTAGACTACCCAGTGGAGAAGGTATATACTTACAGCGGTTCATTTTGGTGAACAGTTTACTTTAATGCCAAAGCAACAGAAAAGATTTTACTTCCATCACACAATAATGATCCTTAAAGAAACCAATGAACCACAAGTGTACGCAATAAGACCACAGCTTTGTACAGAGAGGGTAAACACACTGATATTTGCATTTACATTTACAATGCAAGAACAGGTTTAATAACATTGACAGCATTATACAGTGAGATTTTAGGCTTTTAAACGTCTGCAGCAGAGTCTAATAAAAGTAGGTCAGAGACATTCACCTTTGGTGCCTCTCAGTCAGGGTTAATCATAAATCCTTCATCCTGAGTCCAGACCGTTCTCTGACATGATGAGACTGAACCATCGCTGTAACCGGAGCTGCTGCCACACTTCGTTAAAGTCTCCTTAAATTCACTCACTCAGCTGAGCAACTTTTATTGATGCTCCTGGCACAGACCTGCAGCCTTCACCTGGTTTATGTTTAACTGTCAGATCTATAAAACTCTTGAACTTATTTCAAAAAATCGCTCCACGTGTCCATAAAACAAAGAGGTCGTGACTGATCTCTGAAAGAGTACAAGAGGTTTAATCAATTCAACATTAATCCTTGTGCAGAGGTTCGATTTATCTGTAATAAATCTTCATAACAGAAGGAGGTGACCTTCTTGTGTTCACCTCATTTAGAGGGTAGTAAATATTTTACCTGGGTCTCTGCAGGTTTTGCAAATTTGACACTTATTACCTGTTTGTAGTTATTACAACGACCAAAGTATGACAGCGTGATGGGAAATCAGTGGGGATGAAACAAACATGAATGACTTGTC